TTCTCACAATGCCCTGGGATTGACTATGAAGAAACTTATTCACCCGTTATGGATGTGATAACTTTTCGCTACCTTATCAATTTGGTAGTTTCCGAAAAATTAGATATGCAGCTAATGGACGTAGTAACCGCGTATCTCTATAGGGATCTTGATACGAAAATCTATATGAAAGTTCTCGAAAGACTTACATTGATTGGCTCAAATATTTCCAAACCCCGGAACATGCTCTCAATTCAGCTGAGGTGTTCACTCTACCCGGAACTAGGGGTGGGCACGGTGCGGTTCGGTGCGGTTCCACCCCTAAACTGGAACCGGAACCTGAAATATATTAACAGTTCGATTCGGTGCGGTTCCACTTAAATTTATTACTAGAACATTACGGTTCGGTCTACACCGGTTTCGATTCGGTTCTTGCCGGTTTACGGTTCCTAATAATAAATTATTTGAACACCAAATCATTATGCGTTCAAATACATCTTCTAAAACTGATTACATAAAGTTGCATACAACACATCTTTTTTAATGCAAATGTCTTTGGTAGTGGCACCAAGTCAACAAAAAGAGACAACTAAAATACATATGCACTGGTCAATCAGTCAACAAACCAAAAAATGATGAAGCAAATTACAGGTTTTCAGACTTCAGAGAGCAAGCAGGAAGCAGCAGCTCCTGTACACAATTTTTCAACCTATTTTTCAACCTATTATACCATGACATGTGTGTGTGTATATATAATTTATTTATTTATTATTAATAAAACGGTTCGGTTCGGTTCGGCCGGTTCTTGGTCATTCGAAACCGGAACCGGAACCGGTTTGAACGGTTCGGTTCGGTTTTTCACTCAAAGTTGACTTTTCTGGTCAACACGGTTTTTTTCGATTTTTTTTCTTACGGTTCGATGCGGTTTTGCGGTTTGGCGGTTTTTATGCCCACCCCTACCCGGAACATGCTCTCAATTCGGCTGAGACGTTCACTCTACGGTTTGAAGCAATCCGAAAGAATGTGGTATAACCGTCTGAGAGAGTATTTGACTAGTCAGGGATATGTGAACAATGAACTATGCCCTTGTGTGTTCATTAGGAAGACACATTTCGGATTTGCGATTGTTGCAGTATATGTCGATGACATGAACCTCATCGAAACTCTTGAAGAGTTCGCAAAAACTACTGCGCACCTGAAGTTAGAAATTGAGATGAAAGATCGAGGTAAGACTCGATACTGTCTCGGTCTCGAGATAGAACATTGTTCGGATAGAATCCTAGTACATCAATCGAACTACACCCAGAAGGTGTTGTGCCATTTTAATGAGGATAAAGCGAAGCCTTCGAGTACTCCTATGGTCGTTCGATCGCTAGATGCAAAACGAGATCCATTCCGTTCGAAAGAGGATGATGAAGAGATTTCGGAGCCTGAAGTTCCTTATCTAAGTACGATAGGTGCTTTATTGTACTTAGCTCAATGCACTAGACCCAACATCTCCTTCGCTATTAATCTTTTGGCAAGATACAATAATGCACCTACACGTAGACACTAGACTGGCGTGAATGACATTTTCCATTACCTTAAGGGTACTACGGATTTGGGTTTGTTTTATCCTTATGGATCCTTGAGTAATGCCGCACACCCTGTTTCTTGAGTCGATTCTCGCCTTATTGGTTATGCTAACACAGGATACTTATCTGATCCGCACAAGGCGCGTTTTCAAACAAGTTATGTCTTTACTGTTGAAGGCACCGCAATTTCTTGGAGGTCAACTAAACAGACCTTAGTTGCCACTTCGTCTAACCATGCTGAAATTCTCACCTTGCATAAAGCAACTTAGAAATGATTTTGGTTGAGAGCAGTTGTGGGCCATATTCGAAGCTTCTGTGATCTTTATCCCGCGCGTTGATATCCTGACGACGATCTTTGAAGACAATGCATCATGTATCGAACAACTCAAGAAGGGTTACATTAAAGGAGACAACACCAAGCACATTGCACCGAAGTTCTTCTTTTCACATCAACAACAAGAGCATCAGAAGATTGAAGTCACGCAAATCCGTTCACAAGACAATTTGATCGACCTCTTCACCAAATCACTGTCGAAGACGACGATTCAGAAGCTTGTTCATGGAATTGGTATGTGTAAACTTTCTGAGTTGTAACTTTGCTATTTCTCTTTGGAATTGTGTCAAATTCAGGGGGAGTTTCCTGAAGATACTTGCTTGATCTTAATGTACTAATTTTCCCTACAATTAGGAGCATTTTTCCCACTGGGTTTTTGCTACCTAACTAGGTTTTAAAGAGGCACCCACCTTGGGCTGGTCATATCCTTGATGACGTAGACGTTTCTTTTGACTTTGCATTTCTCACGCATTTTTCCTTAGACTATGGATTTTGTCCTTCCTCGGGTTTTTGTCATAGCCTTAGGGTTTTTTAGCGAGACTTAATTACTTATGCAAGTTCCTACCTTATTGAGAATAAGCGTTGTTCCTTAGAATCAATGTCGATGAGTCGACTTCGTCAACTTCTGCTTGATGCGAAATCTACCTTGAGTATTTACACACTCAAGGGGGAGTGTTGTAAACTTTCCTAGTTTAAGTATGATTGTGTAAATCCTAGATTAGATTTAATTCTAGTTATCTTTTCCTATTACAACTTGTATTCCTTGGGGATGTAGGAATATCTCCTCTCCTTTTACTACTATAAATAAAGGCACTATGTAGAAGGGATAACACACACATTCCCCAACAATTCTATAAACACATCTCTCTTTATTTATCTACCCCTTCCGCCGGCCCTATTCTTTTTGTCAGATAAAATAAGCTACAACATTTTTATGTTTTTAGAGAATAGACTATATTTTTGAGTTAGTCTTGAGTTTAGTTTTTGAAAATAGTCATACCAAACAAGTTTTTAAAGTCTAAAACTTAAAAATTGTTTTTAAGTTTAAAAAGTTAGATTCAAATAGAATATTAAACATATCCTTAATCTTTTAGATAAAATCCCAAATATCCTCGTGCCAAGATTCTCTTTAAATAAGAGACCATAAGCAAACACAACTAATGATTTTCTGCACTAAGAACCTAACTTTTCATAATGACATGACATTTTAGATTTGCACCTTTCTTCTCATTTTTTAATATAGGTAAGCCTCATTAAGCCCATTTTTCTTAGAAAAACTAATGAAAATGAATTAAAAATTTTGAGTTTTAATCAAATGGACAAACATGTGTTGTAAGTGAATAGTATCAGGAGTGACTTTTTAGATTAGAAATGTCATTTTTGTTAAAAGTGAACAGTACCAAAAGTGTTTCGTTAAAATTCTCATTTTTCTTTGATGTCTAGTAGCACTGAATGTCGATACTTTTTAATTGTTAAATCAATTACAACGAGCACCAATAATTAATTTTTAACTGGTAGATTAATCTAAGAATCAATTGTGCAAGGCACTCGGTGCATGTAGTCATGAAGAAAAACTGCCCCTATGTTGATCTCTTCTTCTGTTTGCTTATCACAGGCCTTCTCTACTTTCATCCAAGCCATTACATTTTAGATGAACATAAGTATACTCTATATATATAAATATATAATATACAAGAACTCCTTTGGAATCGCTTATTTTGTTAGGTCCTTTAGTTTAGGTCAAACTTATTATTTGGTCTTTACCTACAATACAAAATGGCCCTATATATGTGTGCCATGTATGATAAGAATTCAAGTATCCACCCCATCTTACAAAGGAGAATGATTTACATGAAATAGGTTTATCGTCATTTAGCCTTTTTTGTCCAATAATGCATTGATTTACATGAAATAGGTTTATCGTCATTTAGTCATTTTTGTCCAATAATGCATTGTAATGCGCAAATTTTTTGTTCCATATAACAATGTATTATTAAATTGGAACGCTACGCAGTGATAAACTAATTATATATGTGTTGCTCTCCTTACAAAAGGGAAAAATGGATGGGAGCCTTTCTACTGACGCGTTGCAAAACTAGGAAAGTTTCATTGGCATGTCATTTCGTGCAATTACAAAACTTTCTAACCCACTACATTTTAATTGGTTCATAAAACAACACAATCGAAGAAGAAATGTGCACCTTTTGATGTTGACCACACTTTTTTTTCTTAATATTGAACCTAACCCAACTTTTGATTTAAGTAGTCTTTTAGAACTATAAAGTGAGACTACATTAAGGGAAATAAACATCTAAATCTCTTGCCTTAAATCCCATCTAAAGAGTCTTTCAACTTTTAACCATTTTTACATAGTAATACTGCTATTTAGACACAAAATTAATCACATTGTTAAAATGTTCTCTAATACAAGTAAGACTCACCTATATTATCGAGATTATCAACCATGTAATCGGTTTGTGTCTAAATAGTATTACTTTCAACAACATTTAAAATGAAAACACGGTAAAAAAGTCACGATACACTAAAGACAGAAAAAGAGAAAGAAATATTGATGACCTTTTAAACTGCTACTAACAATTCCCAAACTGAAAACCAACATGCAATAGGTAAATGAATCTAATATAGAGCTGTTATACCCACCGACCTATCTTTTTTATCCATCAATCTCGTAACTAAAAGACTAAAATATCAAATGACAAATTAAAACAAAGTGAAAGACAAGTTGAATTTTCCTCTCGTGGTTAGAATCCTCGTCTTGAACTTGGTGTGGGGTTGAAACACATAAAAAGCTAACAGTCTTTGGATATTGACCCAAAAAAATTCCAATGATCAATTTGCCCTTTCGAAACTACGAGTCACATTAACATATACCACTTGGACATTTTCGCATCTACCGCGTTTTCGACGCGGGTGTTTCTCTCTCTCTGAAACTTCCAAACACCCAATTTCCAACGCTGACACGCCAGTTGACTTTAAGACTAGTAGACCTGAGACTCGAAGCTCTCAAGGGCCATTTCCTTTTTTCTTGAATTCCTGCGTTTCTCTGATCCAAAACCTTCGAACTCTTTTCTGGAATTTCGATCGTAACCCACCGATTGGAAGAGAAAGAGGACAGATTCTGATGGGTGCTGAGAAGAAAACCAACAGACTGCTCCCATTGACGGCCTTCTTCCTTCTGGTTCTGTCCACAACTATTCCCTGTGTTTTCTCGGCAGCCAATCAGCCCCCAACCAATAGAAAGTCGGCCCAGTTGCAGAAATCTGGTTCTTCCGCTGTTTTTCCCCTTCACGGAAACGTTTATCCTCTTGGGTATGATTTGTTTTTCGCACCCTCGTTTGGTTTGTTTCTTGTTAGGCTTTCAAATCTTGTTCCTTTTAAGCTTTTTTAGTTATCTAAGTCATTGCATTTATCAGATTTTTAGTGGGGTTATCTTGGTTTTTTTGGTTCAATTTCTCTTATTGGTTGTTGGGGTTGATTAATTCGGATTAATGGTTAATCCTTCATATATTCACCAAGTCGGTTATTAACTCTGTATTTTTCAAATCTTTACAAGTTCTTGGATATATGTTATCCATTTGGATATTGGGTGTTTTTGGGTTTTTCTTGGTTTGATGAGCCGTTGGCATAATCTACTGATTGATTCATATTTTGACTCAGTCTCTTTGCTTGTCCTTTGAATGCCCTTTTCACCAATTTCTGATTTGTTGTTTTTGTTGCCTGAACTTTCTCTCTCTCGCTCAAAAGTTAAAGTTATTATTGCAGAAAAGGTGAAAATTTGCCAACCCCTTTTCATTTTCTTTTCTTTATCTAATTTTGTACTAAAAAATTTCGATCTCTTTTACTTCCACTTATTGCATCCTGCATGTATCTTTTGTTCAAAAAAGTTCAATTAATGGAACTGTTAATAGCACTTAAAAAACCTCATTCTACACTCCTTACAAGCGTATATTTCTTTCTTATTATAGAAAGTTTGAAGTGCAAAATGAGATTTTTGGAGGGCCAATAACAATTCCCTAATTTAATGCTTTACAGTAATCTCTTAGGGTAAGATTTGTTGGACTTGGATGCCATGATTTGGTATTCTGTGTTTTCTTCTGCCTCCATTTTTATCTGTTCTTTCTTTTTTTTTTGATGCGTGTGAACGGTTTCAAGATTTGATTGTACTTTTCACTCCACAGTTACTACTCTGTGTCCATCACCATAGGCCACCCTGCCAAGCGTTTCGACCTTGATATTGATACTGGCAGTGACCTTACCTGGGTCCAATGTGATGCTCCTTGTACTGGTTGTACCAAGGTAAAACTTTATTGGATTCTGAAACCGTGAGACTAACATTTTAATGACTGTTCTCACCATGCGTTTGTGTGTATGTGCGCGCATTTGCAGCCCCGTGAGCATCTTTATAAACCCAGCAACAATCTTCTGGGATGTGGACACCCTCTTTGTGTTTCATTCCACTCAAGCTACCCATGCAAGACCCCAGATGATCAATGTGACTATGAGGTCGAATATGCTGATCACGGGTCATCTCTTGGTGTGCTGGTCAATGACTACTTCCCCCTGAAATTCACCAATGGCTCTCAACTCAGTCCTCGTTTGGCCTTTGGGTGCGTATTCAGTGCTTGATTTGTATATCATTTAGCAGTATTATAGAATTTTTATACCGAACATTTTCTTCTGGTTATGATCATATTTTTTCCTTTATATATTTGAATTTTGAAATTTCATTACGTATCCCATTTATAAACTTCAGGTTGTTTGGTGTTGAAATGCCCAAATAAATAAGTCTAATGTGTCAAGGTTGAAATTGAATGCCTAGAACATGTTAAGTCAATTACTTGCTACTATACCTGGCACCTTATGTATTTCTGAGTTAAGGTCTTATAATCTTTTCTGTTCCTGTTGTCCGTAGGTGTGGATATGATCAAAAAATTAATAGTTTAAACGCACCTGCCACCTCAGGAGTCATTGGCCTAGCTAATGGAAAGGCCAGCATTGTATCACAACTAAGTCGCCTAGGTTTAACGCGAAATGTTGTGGGTCACTGTCTAAGTGGGCAAGGTGGAGGATTTCTTTTCTTTGGGGATGATCTTGTCCCTTCTTCTGGAGTCATGTGGACACCAATGTTGCAGAATTCATTCCAGTGAGTGCTCTTAGTAATCCTATTTACCTTCTCATATAGGATTAGTCGTTCTTTTGAATGATCACATACCATTTCAATTTGTGTATAATCCATCTTTGCCAATTTCATAGAGAGCACTACTCATCTGGACCAGCGGAACTTGTCTTTAATGGAAAGTCTACCGGTGTAAAGGGCCTTAACATGGTTTTTGATAGTGGAAGCTCTTACACTTATTTCAATTCACAAGCTTACAAGGCACTCATTAATCTGGTGAGAAAGAAACAAAGGAGACCGTTCTTAGTTTAGTTACTTGTTAATGACTTATACATAAAACTAACCATCAATTCATGCAATCAGGTGCGAAATGATTTAAATGGGAAGCCTCTGAAGGATGCAACTAAGGATCAATCCCTCCCAATTTGCTGGAAAGGTAGCAAACCTTTCAAATCTGTTGGCGATGCAAAGAACTTTTTCAAGCCCTTAGCACTGAGCTTTACTAAAGCTAAGACTGTTCAGCTGCAGTTATCACCGAAGCTTATCTTATAGTTACAGTGAGCACCCTATTTTCCTTTTGTTTTTTGTTTTTTTTTTTTTTTTTTTTTTTCTTTCGCTTAGTAATTGAGAAAAAAATTACTTGAAAAGGAACATTTAACAATTTCTTCGTCGACAGAAACATGGCAATGTATGCTTGGGGATTTTGAATGGCACTGAAGTGGGACTGGGAAATATGAATATCATTGGAGGTAGCTAATGCTAACAAAACAAATACCTTCTGTCCTTTATTTATTTATTTATTTTTTTGCTGAATTTTACTATTAGTCCCTTTAGTTTATTTGGATTTTTCCACTTTCATCCATGTAGTTTCTATTGTTGCATTTTTGTCCTTGTAGTTTCATTTTGTTGCCACCGTAAGTTCAATCCGTCAAATGAGGCAAAAGTCCTTCCATTTTGTTGACAGATTGGACTAAAGTGAAATTGAAACGAAACCCCAAGGATGAAAAATTAACAAAACATACTATAGGGACGAATTGGAAAATCCGAGTAAACTGCACAGACTATTGGTGCAATTTGGCCCTTTCTTTTTGTTCTGTGTTCAACATCTTATCTTTTGTTTCCTATTTACAGATATTACTATGCAAGATAAAATGGTGATATATGACAACGAGAACCAGAGAATTGGATGGGCTCCTACAAATTGCAAAAGACTTCCAAAGTCATGACCTGTTGTTTAATAAATTTGTTTTTCGTTTCATGTATGTGGTGAGGGTTTTCTCATTGGAAAACTCTTTTTTCAGAGTGGATCGTGAACTTTGTGACGGTATTTCTCAGCCTTTTGTTGCCAATTTGGGTATCCTGGAACAGCATTGTCCTGCTTATGATCAATAAGGTGGTACACCGTGAAGGCTTCAGTCCAGAGACTGACAGCGTAGAAAGGGAAATAGCTTTGTACAAGTTCATGTAGCCGATACATACAACTTATATGCTCCTAGGAGTTTTACAACAGTTATTTTGTCTGTTACTCCAGCAGAGAAGAAAAAGAGAGGTTAGTTTTGTATGTCGTAGTACCCGATAATACAGGTATCCCTTATATAGATTCTATTCATGTATAGCTACACCCCTGATCCATCTCCACTGAACTGGTTGCATGAATCTTGAGTTACAAGAAAGGTGCATCTCGTCTGCTGTCGTTTCCAAAGCTCTTCCTGGATTTGAGAATGATGCTGGTTTAAATCTTGTAATGTACCTATCTCATCTCATCTCATCTCATTCAGGTTTTCGCGGATTTCATCGTCTTTGAACATAACATCTGAATCGCCAGCCATTACGTCAAGTGATCTCCAGAATTTCTCGATTTCATATTTGTCAGCTCATTTTCCAAATCAAATCGACGTTTTACTTTGTCCAACGTTCATCGTAAATCATCTTCTGTCTGTCTGATCTGTCTCGGACGCTTCCTTTTCCAGAGAGAAGCTTCTCTTTGGCAGCCAAAACTACATCATCTGGCCTTTCCTGGCCTCGAGGACCATTTAAGCTATTTCTCTTGAAATCAGATGAAGTAGATCTCTGACAATTTGGTAGGCACTGAACCTCCTTTGCCGCAGCATTTGATAAAAGGGCTTGGTTACTTGTTCAACCAAGTTTCTAAGCTCAACTGCTGCAGCTGTTGCAGCCAACTCTTTGGCATATGAACCTTCTTCTCAAAGTTTCATATTCTGATCCCGTATTTATATGTACATGGATCATACGAGATGGAGTTTTACGTTTTCAACCGACAGTAACGGGGGCATTGTAATAAGGATAGTGCTATTCACACTCATTCCTACCTCCCACACATCCTTGTTAATTTTTTCCTATTAATCTTCTTTAATTCATTTGATCCAACGGTTAAAATTTGATAGAGGTGTGAAAAGTAAAAATGGTGTGTGGATAACACTACTCTATAATAAAGGTTATTTAGCCAAAGGTCAATAGAATTTTTAATAATTTAGCCATATAAAAATTGTCCAGTTTTATTTTGGACATAATCAAAAAATATATTTATAATAATTATACATAGGTCAATGAAGCATGCCACATGGGTTAGGTTAGTCAGAAAATAATTATTCTATCCTTCGTTCGCTTCAATTTATTATTTTCCTTCCCTCTTCCTCTCTGACTCTCTCTTGTCCTTATTTACTCTCTTCTTTCCTAACTTTCTTTCATCTCTCTCCACTCTCTCTTGTCCTTCTCTACTCCCATATCTCCCATTTTTCTCTCCAATGAAGAAGCGGTCATTAGTGATGGCGAGTAGCACCAGATCCCAACAAATCAATCGATCAGCGACCATAACATTGTGATTGACACGATTCCTTTCAGAACCATCAACGGCCTCCATGAGATCATGAAGTGGATGGTAGTGACGGAGTTCGGAAAGGAGTGGTCGCACATGAGCTGCCAGAAAGAGTTTCTAGAACAAAGTTTGTCGAGGCTAGGCTAGCAGAAGTTGAGCCTGAGTATCAATGAGGTTTAGAAGGCGCCATGGAAGGATGAAATTGATGAAGTGGATCAAATCTATGCAATTTGTGCTTTGGATTTTAGGCTCTTTTTGCTATTTAGTTTTGTATCTGAATTTATTGGCATAAGTCAATATTTAGGAGAAAGAGAATGTAAATATTGTGTAAATATTAGAGTCATGTTTTAGGAAAGATATATTTGTGTCCTTTATTGTTTCCTTATGTAACAAGGATTGTATGTATTTATATTCAGAATTATGGAATACATGAAAATTAAGCCGTAAAATTCTATTTGGCAGCAGAGTCGAGTTGTAACCCTAGAAAAAAATTCCCACTGTGCTGCTGCTGTCGTGCAAAAAAACAGCAAGTCTTTTGTTCTTTGTTGCATCCTATAGCAAGCCAAGATTACTGTTGTGTTCTTTGTTGCTTGTGCGTGCTGTTGCAATGGCTAGGTCGAAGAAAACCCACTGCTGAAGTTGGATGGTGGTTCACGTGCGACCACCAACAATTCAGTTATGAGCCTTGTAGTGATACATAATTATGCTTCAAATGTACCGAATACCATAAACTCAATGGATCAAATTATCCTCTTTGGTCCAAAGTATTGGAGATGCAGATCATTGGGCGTGGTAAGAAAGGGTTCATGACAAGGAGTATCAAGGAACCCAAGGAAGAAAGTGCCGAGTATGAAACTTGGGAAACTGGGAATGCAATTGTGAAATGGTGGTTGATTAATTCCATGGATCTTACCATCATAGGGTTTTTCATCCATCTTCTTATTGCTAAAAAAGTATGGGAAGAAGTTGCTCAGACATATTATGATGGTTCTGATATTTCTCAGATTTACGAGTTGAAGGTAAAGTCGTTTCGACTTCGTCAGGAAGGGCGTCCTATTGGTGTGTACTATGCCGATCTCAAAGTAGTATGGCAAGAACTGGATCAAAGACCGATTAAGATAGAGTGTGTTATTGGCTTGAAGACGCTTCAAGAGAAAATCCAATTGGACCAGATTTATGCCTTCCTGGCGGGACTTGATGACATATTTGATAAGGTACGTAGTGATATTTTCAGAACTCAACCTCTACCATCTGTTGATGAGGTGATTTCTGTTGTTAGGTGTGAAGCCCAACGTCATGCTACCATGATGAGAGGAAGTAGTGTCAGCAGCCAAGGAGGAATCCCGACACTGTTCGTAGGCATGCTGTCACGGCCACTCTTTGTTGGCTAACTGTATGTCTCACCTTCATCAACAACTTCCCGTCCTTTTACTTGTAAAAATAAAGATGATTTAAAGTGTACTTTCTACAGTTAAACCCACCATACTGAGGATACTTATTTCCAAAACCATGGAGTCCCTAAATGGTTCCCTGTATTGAAGAAAAAGTTACGTGCAAAGGAGCGAGTTGCTAATGGAGCAAGTGGGAGCCTTGCATCCATTGCTACTGCCACACCTAGTACCAAGGAAGCCATGCTTACCCCTGGAGATCCAAGTTAAAGCTTGTTAATTAGGACTAATCTTAGTGAATCACTGTCTAATACAAGTAGTATGGGGCGTGTTCTTTTAGCCTTTGACATTGAACATCATATAGGTTGGATTCTAGACTATGGTACGATAGACCATATGACCTTTGATAAAAAAATTTGTTGACTTGTATGACAACAACTCTTCGAAAGTGTGTAACAATGGCAAATGGCACCACTGCACCAGTTATTGGGGCCTGTACTGTGGACCTCACACCGGCCTCTCCTTTCATCATTGCTTGCTTGTTCCATCATTGTCTCATAATTTGTTATTTATTCCTCAAGTTACTGAGCAATTAGATTGTGTTATACTTATGTATCTACTTTTTTATTTTTACTTTAGGATATTCAGACCAAGGAGATAATTAGGCATGGCACTAAGAGAGAAGGGTTATATTATATCGATGACGTCGTTCCTGGCAGAGCTAATGCGGTTCAAGCATCCCATACCAATAATTTACAAGAAGTTTGGTTATTGCATCGTCGGTTAGGACATGCTTCGTTTAGTTATTTAAGGCGTATGTGCCTAGTTTATTTCATGAAATAAAAGAATCAGACTTACATTGTGAAGTATGTATTCTTGTGAAGAGTCATCGCGTTTCGCTTTCTCCTAGTATGAATAAAAGATTGTTTTCGCTTGATCTTGTGCACTCTGATGTTTGGGGTCCCTCTCCAGTTAGTACTTTTTTTTGGAATTTATTACCCTTGTTGATGATTGCACCTGCATGACTTGGATATATGTGATGAAGAATAAAAGTGATGTTAGTATGGTGTTTCGGTCTTTCTCTTAGAAGATCACAAAATAATATTCCTCTGTTATTAAAATTCTCCGTTCTGATAATGGAGGTGCATATATTAGTTTTGAATTGTCTGTTTTTCTTTGGGATCAAGGAATTCTCCATGAAACTACTTGTCCCCATACTCTGCAACAAAATGGGTTTGCTGAGAGAAAGAATTGGCATATCTTGGAAATTGCTCGTGCCTTGCTTATTGGTGCGCCCGTGCCTAAATGGCTTTGGCCTGAATCCGTTACCGATGCCATGTATGTGATTAACCGTATGCCATCTCGGGGAATTTCGTACACCTCTTCAAGTATTGATGGCCCGTAGTATCCATCAATACCCTTATTCCTTGTGTGTTTAGATGTGTAGCATGTGTTCATATTCACAAGATTCATCGTAGCAAACTGGATCCATGTGCCATTCGGTGTGTCTTTGTTGGGTTTACCTCCCAACTAAAAGGTATAAGCGCTACCATCCTCAAACTAGACATATGTATGTGACCATGGATGTTACTTTTTCTAAATCAGAGTATTTTTATTCTTCAATCCCATCACCTTGAGATCACCAGGGGGAGAACACTAGTGGTGATCAGGGTGATCTTGGGTGGTTAAAGATACCAAAAGATGTGATATGTAGTTCAGGGGGAACATGTATTGACGAAAATGATAAAAATTGGGCAATAGTGTCTCAACAAGAAACTGCCCAGAGTGATATAGGCCTTCAGTTGCTGCCTGTCGAGACAGGTGTAGGTTATCGGCAAGGTCCTGCTAAGGAAACTACAACAGTCCAGCAGCTGGCTACTGCCGAACTGAGTACATCAGGGGAGAATTGCCTTTTGTTGAACCTACATCACCCTCTCACTCTAGCTCGATAATGTCATCCAATGTGTCTTCTCTGATATCCCTGAGGTAAGTACTACAGATGCTCATGTAACTAATCTAAATAATGTTGTAAGTACATAGAAGTGCCACCAAGGCAAAGTCGTGGTGTTCCTCCTAGTAGGTTTTCTCCCGAAGGAAAAGTAAAGTATCTAATAGCAAATTATATGTCATGCAAGAACCTTGCGCCTAAACGCCAAGCATGGGTGAATTATATGGAAACAATCCAAGTACCAACCCGAGTTGAGGAGGCTTTGAAGGATCCTAAATGGGCTGCTGCAATGGATGAAGAGATGATGACACTACATAAGAATGATACATGGGAGGTAATGGAACTACCAAAAGGAAAAAAATCAGTTGAGTGTAGATAGGTCTTTGCAATTAAATACAAGGTCGACGGATCGATAGACAGGTATAA